GTCTGTCTGTCTGTCTGTCTGTCTGTCTGTCTGTCTGTCTGTCTGTCTGTCTGTCCAACGGTGATAATAAGTAAAAAACTTCCCAACTCAGTAATCAGATCTAATCATTATGTGTTATTGTTTGTTTGTTCGTTGTCATGTTTTTGTTGGGGTTTTTTTACTCACAGATATATCAATGTACGTTGTTTTTGTATTTGTTGCTATTGTTGTTGTTATTGTTTTTGCTGTTGTTTTTCTCACACGTATCGAAAACCTCACCGTGAACTGTTAATAACATCCACCCCGTTTCTATTGTATATAATAGGCCTGCCTGGGTAATGAGCCAAAGTGCGAAGAAGGAGAGGAACTGATTGTTAAGTAAGTTTTTATTTATTCGTGTGGGCCACCTTAAGTTAAGCAATCTCAGTTTTTTCCTGCTTAAAAATACGTACCTCAGCAAACATGCGGAAAGATTTGAGCAGGGTCTAAACGTCAACTGCTTCTTTTGTAGAGAATGTTCTGAAGAACGTTGGGAGTGTTGTCAAGGTTGTTTTTTAAGGTGTGGGGGGGGGGGGGGGTGGCTTAGGGTAAGCATACCTTTTGATACCCTCTACGTAAAGTATGGACATGCCAGAGATTGTATTATGATCTCTTACCCCAGATTTACGTACATGTTCAATTCCTCTGATAAGCAGGAGTTGACATGCAAGCTATAATATTGCTTCAGTCACACCAGTTTTCCAAAGTTATGATTCTTTAATCGGATGACTCTTAGCAACGATTTGCATTAAACAGTTACTGTCAGTGCCAGAGCTAATAACTATATTTCGTCTATTGTTGATGTCGCCTCTTTTATTTCTTTTAAGAAAGTTATTTGCGTTACGGTGTATTATCTTTAAATGCACATAGTAAGTAGTGCATTTTCATTTTTAAAAATTGCTACACTGGTTCTGTATAGGTATCTCAAGAGTGTACTCTCTGTGTCTCACAAATATAAGAAATATATCTTCTTCGCTTCGAATTACGGCTCTATCTCAGTGGTGTGTAATTTTGAGAGAAGGAAATTCAAAGATTTACACTCTTACAGTTGGATTATGTTTCTGCACAGTGAAAAAAGCAAGTCAGATTGTCTCTAGCCTTTGACACAGTGTGCAGGGCAAAACACTCAACACAGAATATTGCAGCCAAGAGATTTACAAAATTTGTTAAATCTATCTTTATCCCAGGATTCAAACATAGAAATGACCTCCATATTTTAATCTATTCCTCAGCGGTCCAGACCTATGTTTTGACTTTTACTGTGAACCCATCACTATCGAGTAAGAACATGATATGGTGTTTTTTTTGGCCAGTTTTTGTCGTCGTGCTTGTCTTTTTAAAAATATATTTAAGAGTTGTTAAAATATTCCATGTATTGAAACCGTTTACGTTGCAGTGGATTATGCACATATTATTATGAATATCAATGATTCAAGTTTATTTAAAGCTTTTTTTCTTTTGACTTTTAACTTTAAAAGGTAAAAAATGTATTTCTTTCTTTTGCTCTCTTTCTCTCCTTCTCCTTTCTCCTTCTCCTACTCGTCCTCTTCCTCGTCCTCGTCCTCCTCTTACTCCACCCCCTCTCTCTTTATCTCTCGCTCTCTCTTTCTTTTTCTCTCTGTCCCTCTCACCTTTTCTCGCTCCCTCTCTGTCTCTCTATCCTTCTCTATCTCGCTATATCTGTATGTCTATCTTTCTCGCTCCCCCTCCTTCTTTCTCTCTCTGTCCCCCTGTCTCCCTGTCCCTCTGTCTCTCTGTCTCTATCTCTCTGTCTCTCTGTCTCTATGTTTCTGTCTTTCCTTCTGTCTGTCTGTTTCTCAGTCTCTCTCTTTCTCCCCCCCCCTCTCTCTCTCTCTCTCTGTCTCTCTCTCACACTCTAGTTCTTGTTGTAAGTGTCGTCCCAGGACTGGTGCACATGTCCCGAACCATCGTCTTGCCCGGAGCCAGCCTTCTGCCTTCTGTGCAATCTTTTATATCATCTGTCCATAATTGACCTGTTCGTCCATTGCCTGTCTTTCCGTCCATTTGTAGTTTCAGCACTGTTGTCAGTAGTCTATTGTGGCTCAATTTGTGAAAATAAAATATGCCAAGTAAACATTTTTTGGCTGTTTTCAAGAGTTCTTGATGGGCTACATGAAACATCAGTTGGGGTAAGTTCAGTGTAAGGGTAAGTTGATAACCCCAGGCTTTTACCCACAATTAAAACTGCTTCGATATAACCGTCCTCGTAGAAATGTGATTTGTTCATTGCAAAGCTCCAGTTCATTATTGACTGTAATCCCACTTCCTGCTTTTCCAGCCAAAGTGTTTGACTTGAAATTTCTGCATTGACCCTCTTGTACACTCGGGTTTATCACTCCCTAGCCACACCCCTCCCTCCCCTAGCCCCCCCGCCGCTCCCATTTTCATTGAACAGTAGAGTTTTTGTGCATTGTTGGCAGCAATGTTTAACAATGTCTGATAACTGCCACATGCTTTTAGTAACGCCTTTGTGTCTATGTGAAATACATCACCAGAACTTGGGGTAAGTTGAACGGATGATCAACTTACCTCTTGGATAACGGATATTTATTATCACATCTAAGTTTGACTAATGGATAGTGCATATTCTCAGATGAAATTGAAAAAGTTTCATAATGTCATGTAATAAACCTATCCGGCATGTTGTACAGACTTCCCTACAACGTTGCAGAGCTATGGCACAGGACATTTGCCCTGAAATACGGCGTGGACATACCGAACTCATGGGTATAGAATGACATATCCGTAGACGACTGGCGGCTTGAATTTGTTGACTGGCTCAATCTGCGCATAAGATCAGTACAGTCAACTTTGTTGGTCTGCACCGTTGCCTTGAACTGACATGTAGATTGCCGCTCATATAAATCCTCTACTAAAACTAAAACTGACATGTAGTAAACTCCAAAAAAATTATTACATTAAGCCTGCCTAACACATGAAGCACTTCAAAGGAAATACATGTTCTGAACTAGTCCTACGCAAGCTGCCCAAAAGCTTCATGGTAGCCTGTAGGACCTGCAGCGAACTGCAGGCTTCGCACTAGAGACAGGATGTCCATTTAAAGAAGAAGAAGAAGAAGAAGAAGAAGAAGAAGAAGAAGAAGAAGAAGAAGAAGAAGAAGAAGAAGAAGAAGAAGAAGAAGAAGAAGAAGAAGAAGAAGAAGAAGAAGAAGAAGAAGACGAAGACGGGGAGGGGGAGGGGGAAGGGGAGGGGGAGGAGGAGGAGGAAGAGGAAGAGGAAGAGGAAGAGGAGGAGGAGGAGGAGGAGGAGGAGGAGGAGGAGGAGGAGAAAGACTGCAGTAAGGCCGAATATTTAAATGAGCACCCACCAAAAGCAGTTGTAGTTGTACCAAGGCATGGAACAAAGCAAGTCGGGGCAGTCATGTCTCTGGAGAAGGATAAGCTCGTGACTCTTGAGAATTTGTTTTTTCGTGGGGGGTTGGGGTGGGGGGTGGAGTTGAGTGATTTAAAGAAATAACAGCACATTACAAAGGGATAATAACAAAACCAGTTGATGATGAAGAAGTTGTAGAACCAAAATTCTAAATTAAGAAAAACTAAAAGAACTAAGAACAGATTTATCAGCTATAACGTAGAAGTAGTATTGTATGTTGCTAAGCATCAGATAATTTGGAAATGGACCAAGTCCGAGGTGATGGGACCTGGCGCTCAAGAGGTGACCTAATTTTTAAAGAGCCCAATATTTGATAAGCTCATAAGATCATCACCACCGTCTTCACCATTGTCCATCATATTTTTCAATGATGTTTTATCATTGCATCACTAGTTACAATCATGCCATAAACTCTCTTCCAGTCCCTGTTTCTTTCAGAAACGCATTTACGAGGTCTGTCTCAGAATAAAGTTTCCCTCCTCCATAAAATTAAAAGTACTCAACCAACAGCCACTAAAGCTTGCGACGTCATGACATCATGTCTTAGAAATCTCAAAGCCAAATTGCAAGTGCATTGGTGAACGGGTCATAGAGCTGTGACGTGTCAAGTATGGTGTACTACTGCACTTTGCCCAAGGCAAATCCGAGGAAAATGGCTTAGCGAAACATTGGTGCAACCTTCTCATTTTACGATGTCTGAGTTGGGATCAAATTTTCAATTCTTCTCGGCAAGTCTGCAGTTGAAACCCATGGTGATCTATACAAACTAATAGGGAATAAATAATGCCACATCAAATTCAAACAGTGAGGAAATGGATTAGGGAAGTTGAATGTGGGAGATCTGACATGAAAGATGAAGCAAACGCTGAAAGCACGGGGAGAGAAAGGTGAAGCACATTGTTGTTTTTTTCGACATGAGTGGCTTCATACTGAGCTGGCTAGTCACACCTGGCGGAACTGTCAATGGTGACTACTACAGGTTCGTCCTCAAAGACAAGCAGATCCATAAAAAAGACCCGCTTTGCTTGAAGAAGGCGTCATTCTGCATCATGACAACACGCCTGTTCACAAGTCCAGAGTTGTGAACGAGCTTCTCGAGGGCTACTTGTAGGAATTATTGGAACACACGACCTATTCGCCCAATCTCGCCCCATGCAACTTCCACCTCTTCCCCAAGGAGAAAGAAATGCTACGAGGTCGGAGATTTGAGGACGAGGACCAGATTCAAGAGGCTATGAGAAAAGCGCTCGGGACCTTGTCTTTGACCGCTGGGTACATCAAATGGAGAAATGTCTTGAACTTGATGGTTCCTACATAGAATAGGTATTTTAATAAGCTTTCAGTTGATACCAAATACAAGGTGATTTATAATTATATGTGAGGACAGCATGACAGTGAAACTTTATTCTGAGACACACCTCGTAGCTAATAGTAATGTTTTCTTTTAATCTGTCTGTGCTATCATCACCAATCGTATTACCTCCTCTGACTTCAACCATTTCATCACTTGGTTAATTCCATAAAAGTTTCAGATTCTATTCTCCTCTTGTCTTAAAAAGAACCACCTGTATTTTAGTAAGGATCGCCTCACTGCCACCATCATCCTGTTGTTTTGTCGTAACAAATCTTTTCATGTAGATCTTACGTTTATTACAGTATAACATTGCACATCCATGCTATAAAGTTTATATCCTCTAGAGCTTACACCTATTACTATGGTAACCTATGTCTTCTTGATATACAGCTTCACTGATCAATGTAACCCACCCCATTAATTAATCAGCTTGCCTCATGGATGGCAAAAATTCATCACTTTTACCCCTGTTGAAAATGTCACTTTTTTGTAAAAAGGTTTGGAGCTTTTCCAAGTTCAGGGATCGGAAGGTCAGCTGAAATTTATGTAAAACCATGCACCTCTTTGACATGAGCATTGGGATTGAAACTTTACACAGATCAGCGATCATTAAAAAAATGCTTATCCTACCCTGGCATTTCTCAAGTCCATGTTTCAGCTTCGTTTATTTAGCTTATTTTTTGTTTTAGAGTAAATAATGAGTAGTTTTGCTATTTAGATATTCTTCATTTCATAAAAATGAATTTTATCTGCATCACTTTATTGAAAAACTAAACTTGTTCCTAAATCAACACCGTTGCCATGGCATCAGAGCATTGTTCCGGTTTCTTGTTTAAATCGGGGGTTGATCATAATAATAATGATATGAAACTTATTTTTACATAGTCCAAATGGCATTTTTCGCAGAACAGCGATCACTAACATTTTTAAAAAATAGGGCTCATCCTTCCCCGCTTTCCCTTCTATGGTCGTGGGATATTATGCATCTTTAAAGAATCGACACTCTTTCTATATTTTTAACATTTTAAAAGCAAGAACGAAAAATGAGATAAATGAACGATTTATAGAATGTTTTTCTCGAACGACATTGCATCACTAGATAGGATAATAACGTGATATTGTAAGTTTTCACGCTTAACACAATAGAGTTGTTTCTGGCACATGACATGAATCCCACGTTCTTCTCAGACAGGACTCAATGTTATTTTTGTATGTGAGTCTTGAAAATTTTTGAAACATCTCACGTATAAGAACGCCTCGATTATGATTCTAATTCGGGCTATTATCACCCCCCACTTCATCACGAATGACGTCAACTGAGCAATTGATGCACCCAAGTATTAGGGACCTATTGCAGGAAAAGAATGACTGGCTATTTGTTTCCCCTTTTTATTTCCATCTTTTTCTTTCCTTAATGCATTTTCTTTTTTTTTTTTTTCTTTATTCCGCACGTAACCCAAAACAGCCCGGAGGTCAAGAAGGCGGAGGAAATTTGGGAGACGAAGAAGGATGCCATTGAGCAGATGCTGTGTAAGTAGGCTTTTAATCACATTTTTACTGAGCTCGCACTACATTGGTTCCATTGGTTCCCACCTGGCGCTCAACTCTCAACTGCGTCTCCACGAGGCTGCAGCACGTACAGTGGCCACACCCTGGTGACATCTTTGGCAAGGGGGGGGGGGGAGGGGGTGGCGAACCAGGTAGAGGGTATGCCGGTCGGGTCTCAGACCCTCTTTCAAGTAAACTAGGATCTGCATATAATAGTATTAATCTGCATTTATATAGCGCGTACCCAAGCTCCACTGTATGTGCAATTCACTTAACAACTATTATTACCCCAGCAGACCCACGTTCACCCAGAACCAATATTGGCTTCCAGGGAAAACAGAAAGTGTGAACCGTCGATTATGCGCTCAATCAAACACCAACAAACTGTCAAGTCAAGATCTTTGGCTGTCTATACTCGGGTACCCATTCCCACCTGGGTGAAGTGGGGAAAATTTGTGTAAAGTGCATTTCCCAAGAACACAACGTCGGGTCCCAGACGGGATTCGAACCCACGACCTTACGATTATGATTCCAAGAGCCTGACCACTACGACACCGTATCAAAACTGACTCCGGATTACTACAAGACTAAAACCGCTAGGCTGTTGGAATTTTCATAAAGGTGGTCCCAGCAGAGCGTCTAGGAGCTCAAGGCACAGTGAGACAGAAAAGACGCCGCTGGCCACTCCATGCACCCCGGCCTATACGTTCTACCGTCTAGATCCCGGCCCATCTCCGGCCGGCTCCACATCGTCATGCCATCGGATCCAAATTTTTTGTGTCTCTTGTAAAGTTTATCAGCGGATTGTAAAAAAATAACCGACAAGATTATGTTATGCAATGCGACCTCTATAGCTGAATGTAGAGGTTTCTGTGGATATTGTTTCTATTAGCTTTTCTTTTTCCCTTTACCCCGAAGAGTTTAAAAATCTTCTTTATTCGTTAAAAAAAACCAAGCCTTTAAAGTAGGGTATTTTCTTTTATTAGGGTAGATATAAAAACCTCTCTGAATAACATGATTATTGCAAGTCCGACGTTTGCCTGTATGCGAAAGCAGAAACAAATCTGCAGGTAAAATTCAGAGGTGATACATTTTTTATTAACAGCTATGAATCAAAGATTATCCCAGTAGTATAAAAAATGTAAGTTGTTACATTTCAGACAGAAATAGATAGTAGTGAATAACAAAAAGAAAGATAATCGTGGTTGTGACATTCTGTCGCTTTGAAGCGAATTGAACTTACATAATATTCTTTCCTTATTTAAAGGCATTGTTAACGTGTCTGTTGGAATTACTTCTGTAATGCCTATGGAGATGGTATTTTAATGTGATCGACACAATTTAAATCACCTGTATGACCTACAATTTTCATATTTCGAGACATTAAAAAAGTCAGCACTTTTGTTCTTATCTAGAACTCTTGCAAGGCGTCTCTAATACTGTGTTTCCTTGATTTTTTTTTTGGACCAACACATCTTAGAGATAATATTGGTAATAATTCCTAAGAGAGCTTTTCGTATTCCATCTTCTGATTTTAACATTTCTCTCTTTCCATCATCATACAATTTTTCAATGTCAGAATCTCTAAGGGAAATACTACTTTTTCCCTTCTGGTACCAAGGTGTTTTTTTAAATTTCGTCTGCAATATCTTCAAGTTCATTTTTAAAACTATTTATAGTTAATATTCCGTTAATACAGTTTTATATATAGTTCGTGCACTCCAGATGCCAGTCTTGTATATCACTTATAATTTTTTTCAAACCTGCAGTTTTAGGTACATAATATGTGTGTGTGTGTGTGTGTGTGTGTGTGCGTGCGTGCGTGCGCGTGTGTGTGTGCGTGTGTGTGTGTGTGTGTGTGTGAGAGTGTGTGTCCTCAGAAATTCACATTAAATGTCTTATATAGTATTCGAAATTATGATCAAATTGAAGGATAGTGTTATGCGGCAATAATATCTTTTGAAACTTTCTGTTTAACCTGACACATTTATCCAAGGAAAATTCGTAAATGTGTTTTTTTTCATATGGAAAGTGGATAATGGGCTAATTTAAAGAAGCGATTTTGCATAAATATGTTCCTCTTTAATGCTCATAGAATTGCCATCTACCATAACCCAATATACTATTAAAATGAGAGTAATGTGGTAGAAATTGAGTTACTAAAACTATAATTTAGAGAATCAATATTTTGTTGTACTTTAGATGTGAACACACTGTTGAATTTCTCCATCCACAGGGAAGATGCTTATGGACTTAATCAAGGGAAATAAAAGATAAAGAAAGACCTGTAAGTCGAGTTTTTACCTTTATCTTTTTTTATCCCATAATCTTGTGAGTTCATTTATTATATCACACACACACACACACACACACACACACACACACACATACACAAACACAAACAAACACACGTGTGCGCATCTGAAATTATCTCTTGTGCTCTTCACAGGTACTATCTATACTCCCGTGGAGGCTGTCGCATCGTCGTTCACGATACGACAGACAACGGAATTCCGCGGAAACTTCACCGGTGTCACAGACCAGCAAATCATAAATCAGGCTCAAGCGCAGGTAAATTATCTTTTTAAAAAAATTCTATCTTCTATCATCTTTCAG